CTCATGATGTTGAAGTGTGTGACCCGTCTCCTTAACTTCCCAGCAAATGGGAGGCATTGTGGGCTGTAATTATATGAGACTGAAAAGCTCCTGTGAAACTGTTTTGGTGATGCTGACAACGAACGCGATGCCCTGTTGAGTCCTCACCTGACTAAGCAAAAACCATTCAGGCAAATAAAACACTCCCTGGTGGTGGCCTCATGTCACTCCATAGCATCTCTACCCCAACACCCGTCCAGTAGTGACGCCCTTTCCGTACGTAGATTTCTGTCCCCGCCTGCTTGCCTCTCAGCCTGCAGGGGGCAGCCAGTCCTCCTCCCTCAAGGGGCTGTCATCATCCTTCCGCCTTCCCATTTTTCTCAGATCTCAAGCCCATGGTCCGACGGGTGCATTTCAGGGTGTGTGCGCGTAAGACTTGCCTTCCTGCGCCTCGTGTCCTTAGACAAAGCTTGCCAGGGAGGAACCAAATTAATGAGGTAAAAAGAAATGCTTCACCTGTGATCATCAGCTCTTGCTTCAATCCATTGTCCGTCTTTGCCTGTATATGGCTGTCTCCTGATTTTGCAAGTTAAGAATCAGGTGGTGTCATTGTGTTAACAGAACAATAGTAGTCATCTTCCAAATTAGGAGAATAAAACTTAGCATGTTATCCACAGGAAAAGTTAAGTTTTTCCAGGTGTTGGTTCAACTGGAGAACGGAGCAAGGTGGTACTTCATGGGAAGTGGCTATGCTTATTTTTGGTTTTCAGATGGGAGGCTGGGCAGTATGAATGGCTTCCATTTCTTCCTGAAGAATGAAGTTGAAAGAATGCACTTAGGAATGGAATAGCTGAAACCTGAGTTCTGAACTTTTCTTCAGTTTCACATTTGTGTGCCTCTGTCCCTAAGGCTGAAAACAGGAGATGATTCTTGACAAACTCAAATGCTTGGATGAGGATGAATCATAAACAAGAAATTTTTGCTACGGGGGAATTGGTGTTTATGTTTTACCTGGTAGCACATCACCTGTTTTACCCTCTGGTGACTCTGCTTGAAAAAAAGCGAGGCAGAAGAATTGCCTTAGTCATGATGGTGAAAGGAAAGGAACCTTTATTTTGCCACTATTTTATCTCAATGGATTAAATGAGTAGGTGTTGTCTCGAACACCTGGGGAGCCTGCCTCACAGACAGCTGCCGTCAACTCCTCCCTTCATGGGAAGAAAAGTGCCTGATCCTGGATGACAGAGGTCAGCTTAGCATTTCACCCCAACATCAGTATTAGCTTAGGTTGTACCAGAAGCTGTGGCAGTCTAGGTGGCAAACACTCATAGTTCTGCCCACCTGGAGTTTTTGTGGGGTTAAGTGCAGATTTTAATTCATTTATTAGGAATCAGATACTTAGGGTAATAAAATTTGGTGACTGTTCCCTCCTGCACCCTAGAAAATTCATCTACAGAATATCTCAGTAGGGTTCCAGGATGTTAAAAGTATTAGTGTGGCTGGGCTTGGTGGCTCAGCCTATAATCCCAGCACTTTGGGAGACCAAGGTGAGTGGATTGCCTGGGACTATGGGTTCAAGACCAGCGCTGGCAACTTGGCAAGGCCTCGTCTCTACAATAAATAAAAAAAAATTAGCAGGCTGTGGTAGTGTGCGCCTGTAGTTCCAGCTACTTGGAAGGCTGAGGCAGAAGGATCGCTGGAGCCCAGCAGGTCGATGCTGGGGTGGCCGTGAATGTGCCACTGCACTCCAGCCTGGGCGACAGAGTGATACTCCAACTAAAAAAAAAAAACATTATTAGTGCATGTCAAGAGCTAGGTAAGCCGGGCTCGGTGGCTCAGCCTGTAATCCCGCGCCTTTGGGAGGCTGAGGAGAGTGGATTGCCTGAGCCCGCGGGTTCGAGACCCACCTGGGCAGCGAGACCTCATCTCTACAATAAATCAAAAAATCAGACGGGCGTGGTAGCACATGCCTGTAATTCCGGCTACTTGGAAGGCTGAGGCGGAAGGATCGCCGGAGCCCAGCAGGTTGAGGCTGCGGTGGCCGGGAGCGGCCACTGCACTCCAGTCTGGGCGACAGTGAGACTCCAACTCAAAAAAAAAAAAAAGTGCTAGGTATTTGGGGATTAAAGACAGTATAAAAATGCCCCTTTACCCTTAAGAATGTTAGCAACAAATTCATTTGTGAGGCTAAGACCCTACTTCATAAGTATAGAGATATATATTCTGTGAACACATGGAAATCTGTCTTGGCCTGTATTTTATAAGCACTGATTTTACCATATTGGAGACATTTGATATTTAAACACTGCCTATTGGATTGTTGAGAGAGATTCATGAAAGTTACAAGTCTGCTATAATTTTAATACCATCTTTATCCTTATGTTAAAGAGGTTAGAGGAGACATTTTTAGTTATGAATTGTACTTTGTTCATGGCATTTGTCAATAAGATATACCTCCAATTATTTAAAGTTTTCTGTAACATTCTGTCAGGACCTTAAATGTGGCAAACTGTTCAAATTCCGAGGCAATTTGTTTTCAACTTCTCTTCTTTTAAGTTGCTCATGTTTTCACAGATGATATAGCCTGTGTTTTTCTTCACTCTGCATTGCATTCATAATGAATCATCTATTTTGTATAGATTACTAATCTTTATCGAGAAGTAGGCAAACACATGATGACTGTAATGTAAACCTGTTTTTATATTGACCAAACAAGTATAGTCTATTCTTGATTTTTACTTAGACATTTCTTTCTGAGATTTTAAAAAAATCACTTGCTACCCTTTTGATAGATTTTAAATTACCAATACAATTGTGAAGTATTTTTGCTTGTGTTTTTCTTTATTTGGCTTAAATCTAAATTGTTGACTATTTTGCTTGTTGTGGTAGTATATTAGTATATTTTCTTAGGAAAATTCAATTTTGAAAGTTATTTTAAAAGAAAATTTAGTTTTAAGTAAGTAGTGACTCACTTGTCTGTAAATCCAGGTCTGTAATCTCTGCCTTTGGGAGAACAAGGAAGGAAGATTGCTTGAGCCCAGGATTTCAAGATCAGCCTGGGCAACATAGCAAGACCTTGTCTCTATTTTTTTTTAAAAAAAGATATAGATATAGATATATAAAATAGATATAGATATAAAATAAAATATCTAAAATTTTTTTTTAATTTTAAAAAATAAGCCAGAATATTTCACTGATATCCCTAGGAAAAGTAGTCTTTACTAATGATACACATTTCTTAAATCATTGTATTTATATACAGATACACATTTCTTAAATCATTGTATTTATATACACAGACATTAATAATTAAATATGTTGAGCAGATCTTTATAAAGGATGTAGATCACATAGCAAATGTGAAAAAAACTACACATAGCCATCTTTGTGGTAGTCTGAATTTCAGTTATTTTGCTCAAATAAATTTGCTGAGATTTCCAGGATATAGATTTGTCATTTATAATTTTTAAAATTAGCATCAGCAAGTTAATATGTTTAATATTTCTGTATTGAAATGAAAAGAGACATTAATTTGAATTAACACTAAATACATTATACAGTATCTTTTAAAAACAATCTATCTGATTTAATGATTATGAATTTAATAGGTTGAATACATTTCTTCATAGATGAGTTAATAATATCACAACCCATCTTTGTAATTAAGTATCAAGAGCCTATTCTTATTAACAACTTTAAGGCTGAGTAAACATGATCTTAATTAAACTCAGATAATGCTAGGGGATGTTGATTGCTGCAGTAAGGAGAATAAAATGATGCTGCCTGACCTTAAGAAATTATAAATATGGGAATGTTGACAAATGAAAATAAGCAGCAAACACCTAACTCCCAAGTCAATATTACTACAAGAAATTAGGTTTGGTTTTAAAATGTACATTTGAATATTTAGAAGTGTTCTTTTCAAGCATTTTATACAAACCCTGAATATGTCAACTCACTTTACCTAGTTTGGAAGTCATGTGGAAATTCCTGTTTCAGGAAGCTGGTATGGGAGATGTCTGTCCTGAATTACGAAAGAATTGCAATAAACTCTTAATGGAGGTTGGGGACTGCACAACGGAGACAGTCGCAGAACCCTGACCTTGCTATAGATGAATTAAATGAGGTCACTTGCTGGGTTCTGTCACCCTTTGCTGACTGTTGTACTGATAATAAGAAAAAAGTGCCCATTTGTATTGAAGAAAAGCAAATGAAAATAAGATATACACCATCTGCTGATTTTGCGTTTGCCTTGTTCTTTGAGGCTTGTGAAAGTAACTTTGCAATCAAATTAGCCATTTTATAACTTCTTCCTAGCAGAAACAAGAAAAAAAAATAGTTGCCTTGTGCCCATATGTAGTAATTGATTTCTACTTTCTGGATAAAACCAATACCTGCCCGGAGAAAAGACCCATCACTATTCTTTTAATACACTGGAATCTGTTTTTATGATTCCAAAACATTTACCTTAATAAAGAATTTGTGAATGCCATATACAGGATGAAAAATGGATGAGTGGTGAAATATATTTCTCTCAGGCATCAGCTGTTCTGTTGACAAAAGGCACAAATATGAAATTTGTCTAAATAATTAGATTTTTAATTAGTGCATCATTGTAAGATTAATGTCATTGCGCTTCACTGCATGTAATTTTGTATTAGAAATTTTGTGTCAACAAAGATGCTACCTGTGGTTTGCTGATTTGAATCCTTAATTTATCACCGGTGTGTATGACATGTGACATATTTGCAGTCAAGCTCTGAAAGAAGGCATTTGATGATTGCTCCACTGGAGGTGAGGAATATTGATGGTGTTATGCTATATGAATACATCATATTCTGATATTCAAGTGGCAGCCTTCCCCTCAAGTATTCGTGAATGCATAATAATTCACAATAACTTTAACAATAGCATGAGTGGGTAGGTTGTTCCATCTAGGGTATACCTACTTTGAACCTGTCTTAATGTTGTTGGTACTTTATTTTCTTTTTAAGATTTTATTTTTTCTTTCCTTTTGACAGTTGCCGAACAAGCAACCGGAAAAGCTTGATAGGCAATGGACAGTCACCAGCATTGCCTCGACCACACTCACCTCTCTCTGCTCACGCAGGTAATAGATTTTGCTTTCTGGAGTTCTTAAATTGTCCTTGGTGGTGGGGGCTTGTAAAATAATCCAAACGTTTGCGATTCAGTTGTGTCTTCACATCTTGTCGTGGCTGTTCTGTCATTTTATCACTAAGTTGTTCTCGCTGATCGTTTGGTTCACACCCAGACTTTATCTTCTGCTCGAGTGCTTGAACTCTGAATTATAGAAGACTTTTTTACATGAGGTCACTTTTTCAATGACTTTCTCCACTTCGAAATTTTTGGATGTTGCAAGACATGGTTTCCATGTTAGAATGTCTTTGGAACGTGTAGACGTGATAACTCACACGAAGAGGATTTGTGTTTGGAACTATTCAGTGTGTTTCTAAGACTGAACCTGTCTAGTATATTGTGATAACCATTGGAGGGACAATGAAGATTCAAGTGATGAAGCCCTTGGCCTCAAGTACTGTATAGAATTAGGAAGATAGAGCCGTGTTATACTAAATATACCATGAAGACTGCTTTGCATGATTTTTTTTTCCAAGTTCTATCCAAGATGATGCACTCAGGAAACTCTGGGAGAGTTTAAAGGAGGCATTTGCACAAGATGTTGAAAGAAGAGTAAGACTTTGAGAGGTAGAAATGGGGTGAGAGAAAGGGAAATTCCCAGTGTATGACTTGAGTATGAGACTTGTATGCTTTAGAGAACTTAAAGATAGAAAGGCAGATGAAGGTCAGAAGAAGGAATTTTAGCTTTGAATACTTTCAAGGACTTTGAGGAGGATCTGTGTTTTACAATGGGAGCTTCAGGATTGTGAAGAATGATGGGTGGAAAACATGAGCTTTTAGCCTACTTTAATTGTACTCTTATAGAAACTCTAATTTGACTCTGATGTACTCTCAAATGGTCTTGGTTTCATAGTTAAAGGCAGAACTGTCTCTCTCTCGCAGAAGGCAGTTCTGGATCTCAAGGGACCTCTCAAGTTGACATTCCGAGTTGTCTGTTATATGACTAGAGAGAAAAAGGGAGAGAGAGGTAGTTGCTCCTTTGGGATGAAATTTTATTTTCCCCATGGTAATAAATAAAAGGTGGTAAGATAAAAAGATAAACTGATAAAATTATGATAATGTAAAATAAGTATTAACATCCCCAAAGACTTCTTCCCGGTAAAACTTTTGAGGCAGAGAAGCTCTTGCATAGATGAAGACAAGTTCTAGACCAGCATCATTTGTAATAACCAAACATCTGAAACAACCTAGATCTCTATCAGTTGGAAAACGGATAACTGAATTGTGACATAGTCATATACAGAATACTGGACACATAGAAAACAAATGAATTAGCTCTGTACATATCTGCATGAATGAAGTTCAAATCTGGTGTTGGGCAGAAGAAACAAGCCACAAATGAATATTACTTAAACCTTTCACATAAAGTTAACATGATGCTACATACACTATTTTGTTTAGGTAAATATATGAGAGAGACTCCAAAAAACCCAGAACTTATTTATAAAAACTTGTGTATTCTTACATGTGTAAACTCCAGTCACCTTCTGAATACTCTCCATTTGAAGAAATACACCTATCAAAATGCTTTTTCCACTGCTCAAAACAGTTTTTGAACACATCAGTTGTTATGCCTTTTGGTGCTTCTACCACTTTTTGTTTCACCTCTTCTACTTTGGCAAAATGTTTTCCTTCGGGGAAACAACAAAAAAAAGTTTGCTTGGGCAAGATCGGGTGAATAGGGAGGGTGAGGCACAGGGGATCATGCCGTTTCTGGTCAAAACCGGTGAACACTCAGCATGGTGCGGGCAGGTGCATTGTCATGTCGGGAGAACCAGTCACCTGTTTGATACAACTTGGGATGTTTCTTCTGCAAATCGTGATACAACCTTCTCAAAACTTCCAGATAAAAACTTTGCTTGACCACTTGATCTGGAAGAACAAATGCCAAATATACTACAAGGGGTCTTCCCTCCAAATAATTCAGTTTCTTTTTTGAGGGGGTGCCCCCTCACATATTTAGGTGTATAATATATGTTATATAATGTGTAATATAATAATTATATTCTATATGTTAATTATATAATGCTATATATATATTATATATATATATATTATATTTTTTTTGAGTTGGAGTCTCACTCTGTCACCCACACTCGTGACCACCACAGCCTCGACCTGCTGGGCTCGGGCGATCCTTCCTCCTCAACCTTCCAAGTAGCTGGAACTACAGACACTCACTAGTAAACCCAGCTAATTTTTTATTTATTGTAGCGATGAGGTCTCACCAAGTTGCCCGGGCTGGTCTCGAACCCACGGGCTCAGGCAATCCTCTCACCTCTGCCTCCCAAAGTACTGGGAGTACAGTCTGAGCCACCGAGCCTGGCCTCTATATATATTTATAACAAGAGCCTGAAGGACAACATGGCAATTTTAAAGACCAATTTCATAATAGTAGTCACCCCTGAGAGGGTGTGAGGGGTATATAACGGGAAGAGGCGTAAACAGTAATAATATTGTATTTTCAAAGCCATGTGATAAGTATACACTCTTTATATTATTACCAGTTCTGTCTTTGAGATATATATTACAAAATTGTCCTAATAGCAAAAGCCTGAAGAGGATTAAACAAGGCCGTATACCTTGCTTGGGGATTGGAGCTATCTCTTTTTGAAAAATCTTTACATTCCTGCAGTATCCAGCACAATGCCTGGCAGTGTATACTAGGTGCTAAACAAATGGTGAATTCTATTTCTTATATATGATTTCATAGTGATTAAAAATTTTAAATTTACTCTTCTATAGTGTTTTCTAGTGATTCCGCCATCCTTGATGTGCCTGTTGATTAGTCTTTTATTGCTGTGGTTTTCTTCACTTCCAATATTGAGAAAATGTTGTTAAGACGTTACAGATTCTTTTAATTATTCTTCTTTTCTCTCATGGACTTAGCTCAGATTATTTTCCCTTCAGCATTAATTTAGAATTGAATCAGAGTCATGGGCAGAGGGAAGCCTGCCGTTCAAGTTCTGAGAGTATTTTCCTTTATGTTAGGCGGTTGTTATTCTCTCAGAGAGAATAGAAGTTTGTCAGCCTTTCGGTGAGAAGTGGCATTTATCACAGTCTGGAAGATTCCTATTTCTGTGTGACAAGAAGAAGGAAATGTTCATAAAATACAGGACCAGTCCTCATGTCTTGATAACATACAACACCTCTTTACTCCCCACGCCCTTTGCCTCGTCCTTTCTGTTGCTATGTTCTCTATCCTGTGTTGGATACACAGAGTGTCAGGTGATGTCTAGATGTCTCCATGAAACACAAGAGAAAGAAAAGCTGCCATTTCTCAGCACTTATCAACCTAAGATACTATAAAGTTACACTTTCTGTTTTTCTTAGGAAGGGATTATGTGAGCCAAAACACTCATCACTGACACATAAGTCTGTACCCATCAAATGAATCAGTAGAGATGGGGACATTAATTTGTGTAGGTATGTCAGTAGTGCTCTGAGGAAAAAGAGATGTTGGCACACACAATGTCATGGAGCATATCCTCACACACAAAATAGTGTCTATGGGGACCTAGGTATATTCCTAAAAGAAAGCAGGACAGTCCCATTTTAGAAAAGAAAAAAAGTCGCAGAAAATCACAGGCTCCTACTTCCAGGAAGATTCTAAGCATGAAAAATAACTCAGAAGTTCCAAAGGAAAAGACTAGTGTGTCTCTCCTAAAATGAAGATGTCTATGTAATAAAAAAAATCAAAGTATGAAAAATATTTCTGTACCCATAACTAATTGCTCATCTGATTGCTTTAATATACAAAGAGCTTGTGTAAGTTGATAAGAAATGGCGAATGCCCCTAGAAAAATGGGCAAAAGGTGTAGATACCATGTCATGGGGAAAAAACCAACCAACAAAAACATATCAAGTGGTGCTTCATTGTAATCATAAGAGAAATATGAACTAGGATAATGAGATAGTATCATTCACCTAGCATGGTGTCAAAAACATTTTTTAATTGTTAAATTCCAATGACAGCAAAAAAGTAGGAAAGCAGTCCATTCCCTATGATGTAAGTGTTCATGTGAATTAGTGCAACCATTTTGGTTACTGATTTGCAGTATTGATTAAAATTTCAAATGCATTTTTCCTTCTATATAAAGGAATTTATCTTACTCATATTCTCACAGAATAACAGAAAATCGTACGTATAGCATGACTTGTAACTAGCAAATGGAAAGTTGTTACCAGTTTTTATTTAACTTGCCCTTTAACAATGAACTGGTCAAGTAAACAATGATTCATGCATGTAATCCAGCACTACCTGGTTCTTTATGAAGAATTAGATGGGCTTTTATGTGCCTGTATTGGAAAGATGCCCAAGATAGACTGTTAGGTGAAAAAAATCATGATTTCACACACGCATGTGTGTTTTATAATGTATACACATACTTTTGTATATTCATGCATATTCATAGGAAATTTGTGGAAAAAGAAAAGAGAATCTGTTAACAGTGTTTATCATTGGAGATAGGGAAATTAGCACATAGTACTTTTATAATAATTAGGCTTTAAAGATAAAGCCAAAAAGAAAACAAAATAATATCTGTAGCAGGTTTCTATTGCTGAGTAAGAAATTACCCATAATTTAGTAGCTTAAACAACATGCATTTATTCATCTTACAATTCTGTAGGGCTGAAGTCTGGGCAAGCTTGCCTGGGTTCTCTGGTAAGGGTATCATAAGGCCAAAATCAAGGTGTTGTTTGGGCTGGGCTCTTATATGGAGGTTGGGAAAGAATCAACTTACAAGCCCATGCAGATTCAGATCCTTGCCTTTGGGACTGAGGTCCCCGCCTCACCCTGGCTGACTATCTGCCAGGGGCTGCTTTTTGACATCTAGAGGCTACTCCCAGTCATCTTCTGGCCAGCAACCGCACATCCAGTCATTCTCATGCTTCAAATCTGACTATTCCTCCTTCCATCAACCAGATGAAATGGAATTTTTTTGAGACAAG